GTTAATTAAGTCACTACAATACACACAATAAGCTTTGCCTGCTACGTCAAAGCTTATTGTCCAAGAGCTTCTGTAACTTCGTCGAACTTGGAACCAATTTTAACCTTTACAGTGACTTTTCTGTCAAGCCAGTCCAATCGGAATTTATTCTTGACATTTGAGTCAATTTCTAGGATTAAAGACTCCTGATCTTTCGTCAAAAATTTCATAATTCCGCTCAAAACGATCCCAGAACAATGAATTTGCGAGACGAACAGGCCGCCATGAATCAGGTAAAACAATATGTTACATGCAATTTGATTGGTCCAATCGCTTGTAGTTAACCAATCGCTGGGCCGTTTATAATCGAGCTAAGACTTCCGCAACAAATAATGCCTTCAGTGATCTGATTAGTTGAAGCTTTCATACACGTCCAATCGCAGGGCTGTTTACAAACGGAAAACGGAGAGACTGTTCGGGAGAGCTCGTGAAAACTCGACGATAAGGTACCTGACCGCCCCTAAAATTTTCTCAACGGATTTAGACGATTCACAAAAATGATCAATTTAAGAAATAAAACGGCGGATTTCCGCGGATCCGCGGAAAATTGCCATGTATGTGCATTACATCCTGGTGTTCTCCTCCTTGGTTAATGCAATAAATGAGTTAAGGTGAGATACACCAAGTTGAGAGCGATGGAATAAAGAGAAGATCATAACAATATTAACATGGAATTACTTACACTTACCTGCCAAATGGCTTGGAGGCAGGAAACCACTGGGGTGGGCAGCAGGACCATATGGAGAGGGAGCAGGGTGGCCTGAGCCTATCGAAGCAGAGGGGACATTAAGATTATTCACTTCCAATCACACAGTTGCAAGCTCTGTAATTAGCTTAGGTTGGGGTAGTGGTCCACAATTTGTGGATTTTTCACCTCACGGTCCATAAAATACGGTATGTGTCTTATTATTATTCCTCCACTTATTTTGGTGCTGAGGGACCCCACTGACCTGAAGAGGAGAAGAGGGGTCGTGCCAGGTCATGAGGATATGGGAACCCCGGGAAGACACCTGGGACTGGGGGTCGGCTGAACAGATCCAGCTTCCCATTCATGTCTAGTTTGTGGGGGTCCAGCTGCATTTGCTATGTTTGAGCAAGGCACAAACAGGGGGAAGAAAAATTAGGTTGCTAGGCAACAGTGCCTAACAATGAGCCGGTTGAGGTGGGTAAACAAACAAATAATTCAGCATCTCCAATTCTGAAATATTATAACTAATGTATGTAGATTTCACCAGACGTACAGGGTCTGAATGGTGCCACGTGATTTCAGTGGCATCCCTAATTTGCTACTTCTATTCAACATTGTAATGGTTAATGACAATGTCTCTTCAGAGCATAAAAGCACCTGTTTTTGATTTGAATATTCAAGAACATGATTGCAGACCTCTACTGGATGTGGTATGCTTCTGTTCGGGATGTGGACATCTAGTTTTGGTGACAGTAAAAACTGTTTCCATCTCACGCACCTTCATTTTCTGCTGGTGGTGGTAGATCTGCCACGCGATCTGGACATGCACTGCACACCACTTGCCAGGTTTCTACAAATTTAGAGAGAAACTGATGTTAGCCAGCTGGCTTTTATAGCTAAAGCTAAAACCGGATGCCGGTATTGAGATTTCTGGCCAAACTACAAACTGGTAAGTCATCCTGGTTTCCAACCAGGCACCGAGTAACAAAATGTAACCCTAACTTTAACACAGAGAGACCCCAATGCTAACCTTGAATGCAGCAGCTTGTATTTTCTTTGTCAGTGACTATTGTGGAATGTTTGACTTTGTGGCCTGGCCAGGGAAATGAAACCTTATAAAGGAGAGAAACAAAGCTGCAACTTACTCGAACATTTGTCCTGAATGGGTCCGTAATCTGAATGGAGAGAAACAGACAATACTTGTCATCTATCCTCCAAAGCTTTATGAAGTGGGAAAACACAGTGCTGTTTTGAAAAGCTAATGGCATTCATGTTAGTTTCTCATGGATAAATGTCCAGTGCCACTCTCGCACTAAATGCAAAGACATTTCACAAGCACACGTGTGTCACATCTACTTCAATATTTCTGTCTTTCCATCATCCATTTTCTATACAGCTTAACCTCAACGTTATTATCCGTCACTCAATAGCTGTGGGTGAGCTGGAGCCTTTCCCAGCTGACTTTGGCGAGTGGCGTAGTATTCCTTGGACTGGTTGCCAGCCAATAACAGTGCACGTACAGAAAAACTGACATCCACACACACATTCACACTTAATGAATATCTAGAGCCGTAAATCAACCGAAGTCAAAAGTATGTGCAATGTGGGAAGAAGCCAGGGAACCAGGTGAAAACTCGCGCAACCACGGAATAGAATATCGTGACGCTCAGAGCTCACTCATATTTTGTCTTTAAGTTTGTCATGTTTGCAACAAATACATGACTGGAGCATAGGTGGATGGCTTGATGCTCACCCGTGGATCTTTCTGAAGGAGTGTGTGAGGTACTGCTCCAGGACGTGCTGCTACATCGATGGGATTGGATGCCTGCGGAGAATGAAAGCGATCACACATTAGCTGACAAAGCTAACTGAAAAAGCACAGGAATAGGAATAACAGTCGAAGTTACAGCATCATGTTGACTGTATGTACTGTAAGTACTATGTATTGTCTTTAAAACGTACAATTCACATGTGTAGATTTGCACAGATGCAAGTGGAAGACGATTCCCCTCATCATTTTGACGGTGCTCAGTGTGACTTTTAACTTTGTAATCCTTAGCTACCGATGTGTCAAAGCTGAAGATGGTTCCTACAACTGTTGCTGACCCACAGCAGGCTAACCCATCTCAGATCTCTCTGATCTTCTTGTTATGTCATCAGAGTGCCTGGATCAGCCATATTAATCCATCCTTAAATCACGGCTGGGAAATTCCTGCAGGTTGACGCAAGTCATCGGCTTTCACCAACAGACACACATCCAAACACACATAAGTCCCTCACCCCCAAGCTCCTCTCCCAGAATGCCTCTCGGAGGATTTCCACATCTAAGAGTGTTCCGTGAACCATCTGGAGGGGCCTTTGACAAAAGGGCCTCTTCATGACAGAACCCACCGGGAATAAGGCCAGTGGATTTAGGCCAGCTTTGATTGGTGCCTACACCAGGTCAGAGCCTTTGGGCATCTGCCAGACACAACCACACCCTCCTCCCACATCTTCTTATCCTTCCCATCCTCATTGCCATCACCCCTGCAGCCTTTGGAGGCTTGTCTCACCCAGACAGACAGATGTTATCTAATGCTCTCAGCTGTTGCCTGTCATGGTTTCGTTCAGTACTCAGCTCAGGCTGCCGCATGCTCAGACAATGCTGTTTTGCAATGAAAACAGCCAATAAATGACATGTGTGTTGAATGTAGAACATAGCATTAGGGACAACATCTCTTAAATTACAATATGGGGTAAACGTTTTGCCAAATTGTTGGGAGAGAATGAAAACCTATAGATCATCACCTTTTTTCATCAGATTTCTTTTGAAGGTACATGGTGTGTTATGCTCGCATATTTAAAAATATATGAAACTAAAAGGAGCGTGTGTGTGTGTGTGTGTGTGTGTGTGTGTGTGTGTGTGAAAATTATTGTTTTTTGTTTGTTTGTTTGTTTGTTTTTTCAGCTCATGCATGAGATTTGGGCAAAGGGGCTGACCTTGGGTTGGAAGGCTCCTTGCAGTGAGCTGAAGGGTCCTGAGTGTGGGAGCAGTGGGGGCATACCCGGCATGGTAGGAGGGTAGGAGGGGAAGAACTGAGGAGAAAGGGGATGGAGAAAACCAAATGATCCGGGGGCAACATTCAAATAGGTCAACTATTGACCTTTTCAAATGCAAATGAGGGGTTTAAATTACAATGACTTACATTAGAATGATGTCTGATGAACGGATTGTCCAGTTTGGGGGTATATTTGTCAAACTGGAAGAGAAAAAGCAGAAAAATAGAACATTGGATTAGAATTGATCAACTTCACAAACTCAGTCCATCATATATCATGTTCATCATAACTTCTTATAATTCGGGGAAGAAAACAAGACATATGATCACCATCTGCAAAAGAGCGATAAGCACAATTTGATCCAGACTATTAAGCCCTCAAGTGAAGCAGCTGGCTTTCAACGGTCATGGGTTTATTTCGATTGCATTGTCAGATAAGGCAGGACACTTATTAACAAGAGCACAAATTATCCAACTGTGCATGCAAGGTCTCGGTATGAGGGTGGCAGTGGTTGGGCGGGATTGGGCGCGGTCATCATGGGAATTATATCATTATTCAACAAACCAGTTGGTCCTATTCAATGGAGAATTTATGTGAAACTAACAGTTTTTACTGTAGTTTATCAAACGAGGCCCCAGAGCTATATTTGTCAAAAACCCAGACTTGACTTAAAACCCTGACCGTGATTTAAGCAATCGTACAAAAAAGGAAAAAAAAAACCCAAATGAAAGGCCATAAGGAGCCTTTTGTGTGACCAGCCCGTCCATAAGTTTTTTTAATGTCAGTGGAGCAGACGACGTTAGCAATGCTTAGGCGCTGATTCAAGACAGATCAGCATGTAACTGATACACAGAAAAAAAAATATCTATAAATGCTTAATTGATGTGGTGAAAGCTTTAGAGCAGGAGAGCTATAGTCTAGCCGAATAACCACATTAGTAATTTGCCATTTAACAACGGTGTCCTTCGAATGAAAATGTTTTGATCATGCTCTCGACACACAAGGAACTCATCATGAAGCTGAAGAGGGAAGAAGAGAGTGAAAACGTTGTCCCACACATGAATAGTGGCATTGTGCGTCTGTTCTCGAGCCAATACAGGCTTGAAATTTTTAAAACACACTAATTACATGTGACAGTAACTTATTCCCCTCCACAAACACACAAACCATTTGCAGGTGCTTTTTGCGAGTGTTTTTATAAACTCTCCTGGCGGGTACTGACATATTTTAGTTGACATAAAAGTGAGTGGGTAGTAGGGACTTATATTGCTGTGTGTGCTGCGACGCGGGTGGTTAAGCTGTTGGCTAAGCTCCTTGTGAGGACGCAAGCTTTGGACTTGGAGGCCCTCTGGTGCAGCAGGGACATTCACATCTGCGCAAAACAGCGGCAGTGCTCGTTCAAGGATTCTAATGGGCCCAAATCAAAGACAGCCGGCCTACTGAGAGGCAACCTCGAGCCAGCTTTCGCGCTCATTAAATGCCTCCTCTGCATTGCTGAAGGCCCGGCCAGCTTAATTCTAACACTGAAAGCGGAAAGCCTTGTCTCTTTACAGCCTTGTAAAAGGAAAAAAAATCATTCCAGGGAATATATGATGCCTGTCAGTTTGATTCTAAACAGCTTATCGTTCATCGATATTCCTTGCTCACATAGGGGGAGTGGGTTGGGGGGGTCGACAGAGTGGGTCAATGCTGCCACCTGCTTGAGGGCACTGAACAATAAACAAATATCGATGCTGTGTAATTTCATTAATTACTGCCATTAGCCAAGGAATGTAACAGCTAAAATTAGACAAGAGCCAAGGGGAGGAGTGGAGAGAGGACAGGAGAGAGATATTGTGATAAACCACCTGACAACACAGCAACAACAACTACATCATTAATCCCGCGGCTCCCAGCATGCATCCAAAGAGAAGAATCACTGTTGGGAAAATGGTGGGGTGAGGAAACACATTAAGGAGAAACACAGTTTGAAGAAAAAAAAAAAAAAGTGAAGCAGTCGATGCATAGTGGCCTGTGAGCACTTAAAGTGGGCTGCGAATGACCACCAAGCTCTTACTCAGCGGTCAAGAGATGATAAATGACATCATTATACCGTACTTGAGCCAGAAGAGGAAATTGTGATTTTTGCCCGAATTGCTGCATGTAAGAAATGAATAGTCATAAACCTTTCTTCTCAGTACTAGTCTGGGAAATACAGATTGATCCTCCCTCATAAACTGCCATGCAAAACTTAATGGCAGTCTGTTAGCAGCAGCAGCACGACCGCGGGATCAAAATAGTATCGAAAATGTCTTTCATCTGCAATGACGGCATTCTACAAACTGCGCCGTCTGGGTTGTGTCTCTCAGTCACCTATTTGCTCTGAACACTCATACGCTGTCTGATGCCAATGACAATTTCCTCATCATTTCAAAACAGAATCTTTTAAACACGATACAAAAGCCTACCTTAAGGTGATTCCCCTGCACAATATATATCAGAGGACTGACATTTCATGTAAAACTTGGTCAGGGGGGTCATAGTCGGCACACCCAACACAATCTCTTTGAAACGTGATGCAGTGTAAATAACATTATGAAAATGAACAGAGGCAAGGTTGAGTGTGTGAATCAAATCGGGGGAAGCAGAAGCCAGTGGATTTTAACAACTATTCATGGATCCTGGAGGTGTGCGCCGAGCAGGTATCATAGACCTAAACTGATAAAGAGTGATTATTTTCCTGAAGGGAGGGATTCCTACAGCAACGGGACACGTTGGGTCAATTACGGGGTGAATAAACAGCGGGAGTTGATTGAGAAGGGGACTGGGATGGTGGCGAGGGAAGTGACTAGAATTTCAAAGTTGATTTAATTTATTATGATTATTTTTTTTTACTTATCCTCACATTTCTGGCTTGGTTACGCACCATGGGAGGTGCGGTGGGCGGGGTGAGGATGGCGGCCGGGGGCAGACTGGCGGGGAAGGGCGTGAAGGTGTGCTGGTGGGTGTGTTGGTGCTGGTGCATGTGCTGATGTTGGTGAAACTCGGCCCTCAGGAGCGACACGGGGGCCAGCGGCGAGGCAGATGGCCCCCGGCCCCGCTCTGAACTCTGAACCAGGAATCGGTTGTTCAGCTCCTGCCGCAGTAGATCATGCTCTGCAAGAAAGGAGAGCGAGGAAAACCCAAAAAAATAAAAAAAATAATAAATGAAAAAAATAAATAAATAAAGAGAATGCAAAGAAAAAAGGGGGCAAGGAGAGGGGGATAGATGGAAACACAAGAAGAAAAAAAAAAGGCACGGGCGCCCAGTCAGTCTTCACAACAAGGGTAGAAGAGAAAGAAAATAGTCACCTGGCATTCTCTGTTTCTCCAGCTCATGCTGTGAGGATTTTCTACGTGGGGACTCATTGGTGGTGGTAACAGAGTTGCCTGTGACAATGTGCCAATCAGAATCCCCGAATGAGGCTGGCAATACATGATAGGTTGGTTGAATGATATCAACAGGCTGGTATCTAAAGACAGGAGAGAACCAAGAGTCATCCCAGCAGAAAACACACACACGCGCACTTGCCGGTGAACAGAAAGCACGGTGAGGCAGATTTTGGGGACAAGCATCGTCGCTGGAGACGACGGTCTGTGTCCTTGTTTTGCAGCACAAAATGGCTGGTTGTGGTAATACTTTAATTAGCATCTCAGGAAATAATTACAGCCAGCCGTTACTGGCAAAAATGAAGTATTGCCTCTGCATTGATGCAGTGCAGCGTTTTCAAAACAATCGCCTATTCAAGCACTACTTTTCTCCAGCTTTGATGATTGTCCAGTTCCGGTGACAATTCGGCACCCTACGTAAAATGCACTTTTGCTAAGCCGAGTGTACATTTGAAGTTTATGATACACGATAGAAGAAGAACACTTTGATGACATTTGACGCTGTTTGTCCACCAAATTACATTGGCTCATTTATATTTACAAGTTTTTTTTACGTATTTTTCCATCTGCATCAAGTGGTAGGCTACTTTCCTACTTCTCACTTGTTTATGAGCACGACAGCTCCATAAAATATATTCAAAGTAGTAAATTCAAGAATGAGACGAGCCATGAAATCAACGCATCCCTTCATCGCCACTGTGTGATACATGACAGTGGAATCTGCTTTGTTTTCTCTTCCCGATTGTAATCGTCACAGCAACTGTAACAGCTCTCACGCTTCTGGAAAGACTTCAGATGATGTCGGAGTAGGTCTGTGGGACTGTGTGTCCATTCATCCATAAGGGCATTTGGAGATGCCGAATGAGAGGGAAGCGCTCACGATGTTTGTTCGAGCTCATCTCAAAGGTGTCGGATGAGTTTGAGGTACGGCTGGCTTCTCAGGTTCTTCCACTATATCCACTCATCCAATCATGAATTTGTGAACATGTCTTTGTGCACAGGGGCACAGTTACACTGGGGCAGAAAAGAGCCAGAAATGACGACTACAATGCTGAGATCATATACTGCGAACAAAATGTCCAGATCAATTGAAGAATTTCGAGCCCAAGGCAACTCGGGGGACAGGGCCAACGCCAGATGGTTTTACTCTATTTCACATTACTTTGGTTCATAAGGAACTAAGCCTGTGTTTTTATTTTATTTTATTTTTAAATGTATTATAATTGCTTTGGATTATGGTTTTTTTTTTTGTACTTAATTTGCAGCTCACCTCTAACTAATCGAAGTCATGGATATACACAGCATACAGGTAGTCGTCGATTTACACAACTCATGACATTAACATTGTTCGACTTGACTCCAGTGCTGATAGCACCTGTGTTTATGCTTAAAGGAGAAGGAATTATTCTAACATCTGTAGTTATATTAACTAAAAAGAAAACATTCACAGGTAATCCACAAAATGGGAAAAAATGCATCATTGGATGGACTAAATCAACAACTACCTGTGCTGAAAGCAGCCATGCTCAAACAAACAAACAAACAAAAACAATCCAATTTAAATATGCAGAATTTTCAGTTACGCTTTTGTCCTTATGGTAAACGTACTTTTATCGTTGTCCGCCATGCAACCATTGATGGAAAATTGCAATCATAATCTAGAAATACATTGGCAGATTTTTATTTTTATTTTTATAAATGTTTACAAGGACTCAAAGCCCAGACAGGTAAAAGGCAATTAAGCAATTTGGATTGGAATTAATTACTGCAACTAGTAACATAACCACCAATAATCTGAGCACGGCTGTCAGTATTTGATGTAGCTTGGTTACGTTGAGATCAAATTAAAGTCCCGAAAGTAAACAGTGTTTTTGTCTGCTGTGATTTGTTTGCAATATTACCTGGGTAGGGGGTACCCGCAGGGTGACCAGGCACCACTAAACTGTTGGTAGGTAAGGTTGGTGGTGGAGGCAGTGTTGCTGGGGTTGCGAACATGGCCGAATGGCGATGTGCCGGGCTCCGTAGGGAGGAATATTGCGAGGTAGAGAGGTTGGCTATGGACAAAGGCAAGGTGGGGGCTGAGGAAGGCAGCCCACTGAGTGGGTGGTGTTGAGATGGAGTGAGGTGATGTTTGGGCAGAACAGGACTGCTCTGGTGGCTGAAGATAAAGGCGACAGAACAAAAGATTAACATTTAAATGACCGATTAGATGTCTTGAACATTACATAAAAATCATGCATGAAGCATGATGCACTTCAAAGGAAATCAATTACATTTCCAGGCAAATAATAATAACAAGTTGACAAGAACGGTAATGCAATAAGGCCTTTGCCGAGGCGGGGGAAGACTGCGCAGACATTTTAAAGGAGGAAATGGCTCAATGAAAAACAGTAAATCTTGCATGGTAGGCGGAAAATCAATTTTGCTGTGAAAAAAGTCAATGCTGGGTAGTGCATGAGATTTTACAGTATCTCGTCACTACACTGGAGCAAAAGAGTTTGGAAAGCGCTCTGGTTTATTGCATTGCTCATATCGATTACAAGGACAAGGAGAGAAATTGTGACTGCAATGCACAGAAAGCATCCCGGAGTAAGTCCAGATAGCTTTTTAGTGACCGAGTGTTGTTTTATATTGAGGGTAAAAACAAAAACAAAAAACATGAACATAACTGTTGGCGTTGTTGAGTGATAAGTAACAACACAAGAGTCTCTTGTCTTTCACACAGCTCTGTAACCTATTTGCACCTCATTAACACCTACCTGATGTCGTGGAGGTTGTACTGCAGCGGGTGGTGTACTTGATGTCTTATGATTGGCCGGGGGTGGGGCTGTGGCACCCCCACAGGGATGCAGGAATCCTGCTGTGAGTGTGGGTGAGGAGGGTAGAAATGGGGCGGTGCCCTCAGCAGGGATGGGGAAGGGACAGGGGGTGGGCCTTGTGGCTCCCGCTTGACACTGAGAGGAGATGGGCTCAGGAGGCGAGATTGAGGAGGTTCTGGGGGTGCGGCGGCTGCAGCAGGGGCCGGCGAGCCCGTTGGCGCTGAGGCCGGAGTAGGGCTGGGCAGCGGGGGTGCAAATGGCACCTCAATGTTGTTCTGTTCCCGGTTGCGCTGAAGACCGGACACTTTGGTTGAGCAACAACTTTTTGACTCAAGACTCTCATTCGCTGACACACCTGAGGAAAGACACACAGCCACTGTGAGAATAAAGCTGATCAATCAAAGGTATATAAAGGTAATATAATCCTGATGGGCAAAAGTATTGCGGTAGATGATGGCCTGAAGAGGTTTGTGAAAATCAGAGGACATTTATGTTGTGCAGTGAAGGCTAACTCAGATCGTTGCTGGACAAAAAGGGCCTTTCCTAATTTGTCCCAAAAAGTTGGAGGCATCATCCATTTATCAATTTTTATACTCCAAATCCTTATGAGGATTATGGGGGTGCTGGAGTCCATCCTGACTCTGGGCAAGAGGCGGAGTGCACGATGGACTGGCCCAACCATTCACCCTCATAGTGACACGTAAGGACACTTTAATAGAGTCTTCAACTCATGTAATGCCGAAACGTAAAAATACATTTGCAAAAACCTAATCATTTAGTGCCAAAACATAGCAATACGTTTTGGGTGTTTTTTTTTGTTTTGTTTTTTTTTTTAATATTAATGAAGGGCATCGTGCACCTGCTCAGTTAGTATCGAGGCTGTGGGAATGAGTCTGGTATGAAATATCACCACTAGATGGCAGGAGTGGTTTGATCAGGTCTTGGTCGCACACCATGTGAGTGTGTGGGGTGCGGTGCAGCAATCCTGATGTGCAGAAGCAGTGTGGTGTTTAGAATACGTAAGACCAAATACCGGCAGCTCACGCTAAAACAGAACCCCCCCACCCCTACCCCCACAAAAAAAGCAAAGCTGATGGCCTCCCATTGTCATCCTTGATGAACACAGGCACACAAACACACGCACAAAGGCGCACACACGCACACACACACACACACACACACACACACACACACACACACACACACACACACACACACACACAGAGTTCAACAAGAAGAGGGTTCAAAACTTTCTTTTGGTAGGTTCCATGCTTATATAGCTAGAGAACTACATTTCCTGTAGGCCTTCAAAAATAATGGTCAAAAATGGCTGCACCGGCTCTCCCAAAAAATGTCGGGCATTGAATGAGATAATTACCCCAAGAAGCACATTTTGGTGATGTGGACTCTATGAAAACCCACACAAGCACGGGGGAAACTAATAGGACATGCGTTTCAGTACTTTTGCTCATTTAATCTACAGTCAACAGTGCCGGTCATCTCAGATTCCAAACTGTATCCTAGTTTGGCTCAGTCACATTTCATGCTGAAAAAAGTCCACAGGTGCACAAAAGAGGATTGTTTGACACTTGGTGAATGCAGAGAACTACAGCAATGATGAGCAAAACATCACTAATTTTGCTGATGGCCCAATGTCTCCTTCCCCACATTCCTCATGACTTCCCTCCTCTTTGGTTCTGTCAAGTGTTTAATCAGGTCATTTTCATGCTTGACTATAATCAGATGATCCAATTTCTCCTTGCGACCCAGTCAGTATGAATAAATCATAGGTAATTAAAGTTAAATGTCGGTCCCTATTCAGGGCTTTGCTGAGCACACAATCTGGCATAAAATAATTATGTTTCAATTGTGATGCGAAGAGACATTGTGGCCCGTAATCTTGGCCTCACTGTTGATGTCCCTTCCTGTGCACCCTACATGATCTTCCAGAAGATTTTGGAAATGGCATCAAGGCACTCTGAGAACTGCTCCAATGTGTCTTCTCTTCTCAGCATTGGCCCTTTTAACAATCAGTGAGCTTTTGCAATCAGTGAATTGTCTTTCTTAAATTGCTACAATTTAGCGCGGTAATTATCCACAGTTCAAGCATAGGAAAGATCACAAAATGCCATGTCTGTACACCTTTCACTTCGGTATCATTACTAAGCTCTTATGAATCATAATGAAATGCATTTGTCAGTCTTATCCACAAAAAAAAAAAAAAACAAAGTATGAAGCAAGTTTGACCCTGAACCCAAATAGGAATTTGTTTTAATCACATGAACTTGACATTCAGAGAAAAAAACACAGTAAGGCATACGTAGGATGAGTAAGAGGAAGAATTCAATTAAAAATACTGCAAACGCACCGTCAGTGAGTACAAACCAAGTCTGAGCTTGACATGTAGCCTACTACATGTACATGAATGTCCTGTTCTTATTAATAGCCTGGTTAATCTTTCAAGAATCTTAAAACCTACAAAGAGAATTACAAAGGCAGTGCAGTGCCTTATTATTATTATTTATTTTGTTCTGCTCCTTACTGTGGACAGTAATGGAGAACTAGGATTGATCTAAACATAAATTCCTCAATCCAGGCTTACATTTATCCACACCTTTAATTGGGCATAGGGTTTGAAATAAAATTAAGCTCTAAATTAAATAAATAAATAAATAAAATAAAGAATCGTATGTACAAAAATACATTATATGGCACATAACTGGCATAAAAAGCAAATGTCAGTCAAAATGTCTTCATTGGGATGTTGCCATGGCAATGTGTTCCTCCAGACGCAATGCACGGCAAGCAATGGAAAAACAAGTCTCACCAGAAAATAAGAAAGCCATCTCTAATACTAATGTTGTGAAGCCACGGTGAGAGCTGGAATACCCTGATGGTGATGATAATGGTGTCTAACAGAGGCAAGGAGGTATCAACACCGAACAACATAACCCTCATTAAAATCACTCTGCAAGTGAAGACACTCACAGACAGGCAGGCACATAATGGAGTACATACAAAAAAATGGGGTTGCAGTTGGAACATTATGCCCGTAAAGAATGCCTTTCCAGATCTACACATGCAAACACCTTTAAATGCTGTGTAAATGTGAAGAGACCAAAGACACGGGGTTCATTGCAATGTTTTGTTTTCAGGAAAAAAAAAAAAAAGATGGATAAAATGATGTGTTGTCCTGAGAGAAGTGAGGAGTACCATATTTTCCACACTAAAAGGCGCACTGGATTATGAGGCACACCTTCAATGAATGGCCTATTTTGTAATTTTTTTCATATATTGGACTTACCGCATTATTAGACGCAATCTACAATGCATCCACTGGATGGAGCTACGCTCAAGGAAATGCCAACAGAACGCTACACTACACTACACCCTGATTTATATAGCTGCGATCAGATGTCAGTAAAACCTATTTAATTAATAAAGCAGCGACACAATTCACTTAACCAACAGCAAGTTATAACATTGACTCGTTAACGTTGAACTCTCTTGCCGCTGCTCTATTGCCGTGTTCCACTGCGAAACCGATCGCCTTAAGTTTGAACTCTGCGTTGTAAGCACGTCTCTAGCAAGGACCCATTTTGGGGTTATTATTATTATTATTATTATTATTATTATCATTATTATAGACATATTACCGTGATGACCATACACATGGTGCATCGGATTTTAATGCGCGCTGTGAGCTTTTAAGAAAATGGAAGGCTTTTAGGTGCGCCTTTTAGTGCGGAAAATACGGTAATGGCTTTTTAAGCCATTACTTTTCCCATTTGTACAGCTACAGTGAATATGGTACATAAAGTGAAATAGTAAGCTACATGAGGACTGTAAATAGCAGCCAGCATTTACAATATGGACAACAGGAGTAGATCTCTAAAATCTTCCAATCTCAGGAGAATTTTGGAACACAGTAATTGTTACATATTCTGATTAACTCCTCACTGCTAAACCAACTGTCAAGTCGTGCTCATAGCATTTCATTTCAGTGCCAAATTTAGCATTGTTCTGGACATAAAATGCACTTTCCCTGTGATCACATTCTGAGTAAAAAAACAAGCACATTGCAGTTGTACGATTCAAATGGCGAATGAATATATGTTTGAAGCCTTTTTCTGTAAACCTGAGCAGCTGGTAGGAGTGCGTACCACAGGTCCCTCTCCGCCACAGTCACCCGAACCCCTTCTGTGAGTTGGGTTCGCGCACTGAGGGGAGAAGCAAAAGTCCCTTGGGGGAAGTCGCAAGCCTGCTCACCAGATGACATCTCATCCCATTATTGATCTTTTTCATAGTTTTTGTCAAGGCTGTGCGCTTGGGAATTGGGTCTTTGCATGTGCACGTGCCCTTTTTTTTTTTGTAAGGGTATAGCATATGGAGATGCACGGGTGGGAAGATTAGGGGGACAAACTAAAGAAGCACACGGACAACAGGCCATTGAGCTTCCTTAGAAATGACTAATGTGTCCAGCGGGAGATGTGAACCCAGTGTTACTTCGCAGCTGTTCTAGCCTTCCACACCCTTCACTTGTGACCCCCTCTTAGCCCTGTGGTACACATGGAGAGCTTGCACAAATCCAGTCCAACGTTGCCTTTGCTAAGCATATTTTCAATAGGGATCAACTGAGAAAGTCCTGGCCCTGAGTTCGATTCCGACAGGCTAGCAGCCATCATCAAGAATAGATTAATCTAAAGGTGTCCTGACACATTCCGTGTTTTGTTTTAATAGCAAAATGGTTGTCTTTGAAATCCATTGCTTCTAAGGCAATTTCTAATTAATTACCAATTAATTACCTCATGAATGAAGCCCTAATCTTTGGAGAATATTTAGATATCTTCGAACTAAATTTTTTACAAACAAAGCTGAACATGCAATAAGTGTGTTACATAAATTACTTGACCACTGTTGACACGATGCCATTTCATACAAAAGACAGGTAAACAACCTACAGGTAGATGCAAATGTCCCCCCACCCCGGCCCCCGCTTAGATACAGCCGTATGGAAATTATTCCTTTTGAAAGGGTGTGTGAGAACACGGAGTGTTAGGAGAGGCTTAAGGCCATCGGGCGTTCTCATTTAGTAGGCAAACATGGTGGTTGACTTCATTCATGGCAGCAGTGATGAAACGAGGCCACGAGCGGACAGATATTTAAATACAGTGGGATATTGGCTAAAAGACGTTGCTGAATAGCATGCGAGAACTCACGCTGCCTTGATCCCTACCCTGACGGTTCTGGTTGGCAGAATATTTTGCTGCTGCTTAATGGATGAGCGCTCAATGATTTGGTTCATGCTTCTCTTTTGGCAAGCAAATGGCATAGAGGTCAGCTACTATAAGAAGA